CACTGGTCAGAGTATTCCTAGAGTACTCTTCTTGAAAACACAGACTATTGCTATTACCCTTAGTGCCTTCCAAAAAAAGATCGTAAGATCCTGTCACTAATGACATTAAATGCTTTTGTTGCACTATTTGGAGGATTCAGTCTGGACCTGCAATCCTCCTCATTGAGAACTAGCTCTCATAATATCCAGAGGAGGCATGCAATCAATCTTTCTAGGGAGAAAAGGATCAATAGTCCTATGCAGGTGTACACCATAACACCCCAGCAATGATTAGCAGGACAAGGTACAAAGAAAACTGTAATAGTGGCCCTTATATCCTGGAGACAAACAACAGCCACCACACAGTACTTAAGGCATTGCTCAATAGGAGGGAATTCATGCCTAGCACTGAAAACTAGCCAACTACCCATGGCTGGTGAGGTCATGGAATCTAAAGAAGAACTGACTACTGCCAGTTTTCTAAACTAGTATAATTTCTAGCTACACACTTATCCTCACATACTCAGATAAGTGTGGTTCTTACCAAAAAGTGTCTTATCCAAAAAGTGTCTTTTGCAGCAGACCAATAATTACAGGACAGCACAACTGATCAACAAAGATCAATTGTCCAAGAGATACTCACCTGATTCAGAATTAGTACTTTTACAGTATACTTCTCATACCAGACAAAATCTGAAGATGGACATGACTTCTGAAGCCTAGCTGAGGAGCTTTGAAAACTGCGAGCTTTTGTGTGAATGCAAGTCAGTTGTTTTTAAGGATGTGACCCCTGGTAGTACAACTGCTCCAGGGGAAGTCTATTTTCCCAAGAGCACAAACAATCTTATAAAAGGAGACATCCACTGAGGAAAGAAAACCTATTACGAATATGTACACAGAAACAACTGAACTATTTTTTCTTTTATTGATTGCATAGCACAAATTTTTTCTTCCAGTATGACTGAAACTTCTCGCAAAAGAGGAAAAAATCAATTACAAGGCAGAAATTTTTCCTTCCTCTTTCTCCTCTTCCTCCTCCTTCTTCATAAAATTTGTAAAAGAAAATTGCTTCCTAGCTGAGACCATGAATGGCAAGTTGTAGTTGAGAATGAATTTTTAATACTTAGTTAAAAGTCCTTGACAATAGAGATTAATTGTACAAGTGTTAACAAATCCTTAATTATATATCCATGTCTGGGACAAGTTCAACTACCTTTTATCCCAGTGGTTCAGCACCTTATGTGTACATGATATTTATTTGATTTAATTAGACCTCCAACATAACCAATACAGAAAACACTGTAGTTTCCTTTGCACACTCTCAATCTTAAAAGGTGTTGCTCTTGATAATTTGGGTTGCATGAACTGCCAGAATCCAAAAGGTTTCTACTATGGACCATACAGTAGTTATCATTGTGCGATTAAAGTTCATTCATGTCCATTCTCTTCTTTAAATGGGTAAAAACCTGATTCAGACAGATCTGTTATGAATAATAAATGAGAATACTCACATGCTAAACTTTTTTGAGGCAACAAAAACTGTAACACACACCAGAAAATGATTGAATTATTTCTGTATTCTCTTCCTTGAAAACTGGAAATGTGATACTCAGCTATTAGTTCCTTCTTTGAATCCAACTACAGTTTATTCGAACCAAAATTTTTATTGTTCTGGTTTTGGCTGAAAAGCCACTTGCCTCAAATTTGCTTTTACCATATAAACAAATATAATTATTCAAATATTTAAATATGAATAAAATCTCATCATCCCTTTTATGAAACAGTACAATGGGTACCTTATTTAGAAACTGTCTGAAATGTGCCCTCTGAAATGTGATCTGAATTTACAACAGAGAAGCTCACATTAGGACAGCTCTTCTCCACTGACAACATTTGATTGTGACTTTCATTAGGAGAGGACGAGTTTAAGGAGCACAAAGAGGAGTCAGAGGCTTGCAGCTGTACAAGCGAGCAGCTACAGCCTCAGGTGAACCATTACCCCAAAATGAAAGTTTACTTTTCAGTAGACTTCACATAGTTTTGTTATTTCTTTCAAAAGACAACAGGAGACACCAAACTTCTTTAAAAGGATGGTGGATCTTTATCTTTGCCATTCTTATTGAGAGCCACTGGAACTGATCTTGTCTTACTGTAAATATTTTTCTCTCCATTGGAAAAATGCATTGCTCTAATGCAGGTTCTGTTCTTTTATGTTTTCTAAAATTACATTTACTCATATTTTGCATGGATTAGTGGATCCTGAGTATTGAACCCAGATCCTTAGGGTTCGCATGGAGCACCATTATGCTCTAAAAGAGCTAATAAACTTCTCTATGCCCTTTTCTCCCTACATGTGTTACTTTAGGATCGCAAAGCATCTTGAGTAACAAAACAGTAAATGGTTGGAATGGCTTCTTGAAAGCAAAACATCACATCATTACAAGTTTTGGTTGTTTTGCATTAGTGCTGACAAGGATTCTTCTAAAAGTAGACATTTCTATGTCATAGTTATTTCTCTTTGAAAATGTTTGTATTAAGAATCTTCGCCATCTAAAATGAAAGTCTGGGGACTGCATTTGACTCTGAATTTAACACTATGACCCAGGACACTACAAAACCCTGACCATGGACAAGAATTGTATAAAATACATATGTTAGTTAAGTTTCCCATCTTATATTGAATGAGCTGAGTTAAGTGATGGAACTCTGTGTTTGAAATCTTACAAATAAATGTAATTATTAAACAGTGTGCATACCCAATAAAGTTTGCTAGATTTAAAGGACAGCTTGACAAGCAATTTTCATCAACTCTTTATTTCCAAATACTTGTCAATGAAAAGGGGAAGAGACAAGAAGGGAAAAATGAATAAAAAATGCAGGTTCATACATTTCCTACAAGAGATCTAAAAAACACTAGAAAAACAAGCTTGTTATCTTTTTTAATATAAAAGAAAACTATTTGAAAGACATCCTGGTTGTCTGTAGTTTGACATCTCATACCACTAATAGTGATTTCTTTGACTTTTTCATTTTAAAATGATAAAGAATAATCAATGTAGCTATATAGAAATTTCACTAAACCATTTTTCAGGACATACCAGTTTTGATCACAACTAAATTAACACACACGATATGATCATAGTACAAAACCAAATAAAATATCAGTGGGTAGTAATAAATTATCCCATCTTAGTAATTTTCAAATAGTCAAACTTAACATTATCTAAATTAAAAAAAGAATTGAGATTTTTAGTTAAAAAGTTCCATTTATATCATCAATGCTTAGTGCATAGTAAGTGTTCAATTGATAGAAAGCTTATATCTTTCAGTACTCACGTTCTCGGTAGGAGATGTATTGGAAATGCACAGTTCTGCCTACAGTTGTACTTTTTAATCCCGTAATTATAAAAGAGCTAGCTGAGCAATTTCTTATCCATGTCCTTCTCAACTTTTATGTGACCTGATGATATTAGTCTTATTTCGTTGGTGATTCTTTGCTTCATGATATTGCAAGTTAGATACTCAAGAATGAATGAATTTGGTTAATAAATTCATTTCAGAGTCGCTAATCCACTAGAATCTAGTTTTGGAATCATTACTAACTTAGATTGTTTTGTTGCTTCAATCAGTATTTTAATTCTTGACTAGTCCAAGTGACTACAGACACACGCATATATTTATATACATATGTGTATATGTATATAGGCATATATATACATTATATACAGAAGGTATAATCTATAATATTAATGAAGTAAACATTTTGAATATATTGAAAGTATATAATATTTCTTATACATATTTAAAAGCATTTTTGTTAATTAATTCGTTCATTTCTTCATTTAAGACAATTGACACTCTGTAGACCAGGATGGCCTCAATTTTTGATCCCCGGGTCTCAGGTTTCCAAATTCTGGAATTAAAATCTAGGACCAACATACCATAAAATGGTCAAGTATATTCTTGTATGTGAAATAAATCTCAGAATCATTGCTGTCACAGAAAATATTACAGTAATTAGATCCTTTGTTTCACAAACTTAATTTTAAGCTATGCCTTCCAGACTCTGGTCATCAGCCTCATTAAACTTCTTCATTTTCCACAGATTGTTTAAATATAGTACTTGTTCTTGCTACTAGGAATTTTTGTACCCCTGATGTTTTTCTGAATACCTACTTCACACCATTCAACTATCATTTAATGCAACTTATTTATACATCTCCCACATTGTTATATTAGGAGAGGTTTTTGACCCTATATTTTATTAAATTACAAATTAGAAAATTAATTTACAAATTATTATCCCTTAATTGGAATGTTAGCATTATCATGATGTGGCCTTGTACAGAGTAAGCATCAATAAGCATCTGTCTAGCAGATAAGTGGATATATCAATTTGGGAATATGTATAGTTCTCCACCATTAGATACATTTCATTTTTTATTTTTACTTCTTTTATTTTTTATATGGTTAAAAAACTAATTTTTAAAGAAATCCATAAATCATTTAAATCCATCAGAATTGTATTACAGACACAGTATTACAATTGTGGTTCATATGAAAAACAGAATGTAAAATGACAGGTAAGCAAATATAGATATAATTCTTCCTTTATAGTTGGAGAAGAAATCAAATCAGTAAACAAACCCACACAAAATAGGACACTGTGAATATAAGCAGAGCTGGCATCTCCATCCCGGAAGTGATCTGGCTGGAGAATGACCTAAAGAGCAAGGACTCAGATGTGTAGTTCAGGTGAATGCAGAGGCCAGGCTGCGGAGGAGCTGAGTGGTCTTTAAGGTCTAAGTCAAAGAAAATTCATAAAAATGACAGCCAATGAATTACCCTTACACAGATGGAATTTCCTCCAAGAATTTCTCTTCTTTTCTTAAAGTATTTATTAGGAAATCCCATAGCACCTTCTACTTCTCCGTTAGTGAACATATTTGATGAATTGCCATTACTAGTTTGACAGTTCAATTTCTCCTCTGATCTTGGTGTCTTCTTATTTTATATGCCAGGCCTGAAGAGGAAAAATGGAAGAAAGATGAAGGAACTGTAGAAGGGACCCCCAAAACGAGGAAGAATGAAATTAAGCCAGCCTCCCACCAACTCTGCAGCACTAATACCCTTCTTTCTAGAAGTAGGATATGTCTTCTCTATTCTGCTGCCCACCACTCAAAAGCCTGGGTATGCTTCATCAAGAGAATGTATTTGGCAGAATACACTATTAGTAGCACATGAAATGCTTCATATTTATAGTAACAAAAAGAAAGCCAGTTTCAACAGTTGTATTTATAGGTTATATCTTTTGCAGTCTTTAATTGAAGAAGCATTCTAAACATTTATCCATATTTCAAAAGCATGTATTAGTCATTGATTTAATATACTCCAATACATGTGTTCAATATTTAGGCAATTTACTATTTTTATCTTAATTAAGACTTGTCTTTTTAACATGTAGCAAGCTGAGTCACATGTATTGCCACAGTGAGTATTTTAAATTCTTAACTTCATTTTTTTAACTTGGAATTCTCTTTGTAAAAGCATTTCTTTGCTGAAGGCATAAATATATATTTTGCCTTGATTGAAGTTATGCACATTTAATAGTTGAGTCATAAAGTGACTTCAGCATAAGTGGGGATATTTTACTCTATCTACTGCATATATTTTTTTTAATTTGGACAATGTCAAGAGGAGAAACTAAAATGTAAGTGTACGTACAGTGTAATGTAAGTAATTACACTATAAATGTAAGTATAATACATTGCCTGTTATTTTTTCATTATGAAGGAGTCAAGCTGACACTAAGTTTCACTTTGAGGAACATAATTCACATCCACAGTGGTTCCTCAGAAGTCACAGACAAGGGTAACTGTACCTTTAGGCACAGATGTCTACCCAAGGCTTTCTATCCAAAACATCAGGAATTGCAGTAAGAAAAGTTGACTCCTTTTATAAGAATGAGTCTTTCAAGTGAAAATAACAAGTAATATAAATAAACAAATTTACTTAGGCTATCACTATACTTAACTTTAAACAATATTCATTTTTAATTTAGAATTATGTGAAACACTTTATATGAGGCTCTCTAGAAAATAAACCATCACTTCTGAAGAAGTTTCAGAATACAACCACAACAGCAATATATGTATAGACTGCTCTGTCTTCAGTCCAGAAAATATCCCGTTATCAGAAGCTAAACTGCATTTGAGGCTTCTTGGTGACATAGACTGATTCTGTAAAAAAGTGTTTAAGAATTCTGTTTCTTTGACTTTACAGAACTGGAAGAAACAAATGGCTTTATGAACTGCAGTGGACACCAAATGTGTCATCAGATCCACTAATGTTGATCCTTATGTCCTACCTGGGAAGTTCTGGGAACCCTGTTTCTCTCTATGACCCTCAGCTCTTGTCATGACACAGAAAATAAAGCATACAGTGGTATGACATATTTCAATAGTTTGCCATGAAGGTATTATTTAAGGGGCCATGTTTAAAATGCTACAGCAGGATTGTTTTTGCTATTTTCATAATTCAGAAAAAAATTCCTTGTTTGCTTACGACATGTTTTAAATCATCAGATGCAGGCAAGGTGAGTGTTTCTGACAGGCTTTCCAATGTGATGCTGCGTTATATGCACCCGTATCCAAACAAAGTTGTGTTCCACAGATCCCACACACCAAGTATTTTCCTTGACGTTGACAAATCTCAGGTTGCCAGAGTATACAGAAGATGATTGCAGTTATAAAAATATAAGAAAAAAACATAGCAGCAGCCACCCTTTGAGGAGAGTCTACCTGGCCCTAGATACCTTGGCTGAGCAAATAAACTACAAGATAATGAAAGTCTTTTTGGTCAAGGTCTCTCTACAAAGAAAATCTATCAGGTCAGCTTTCCTTAAGAGAGTTCTTAATGCAATTGCCCTTACCTTTCACAATAAATGAGAAAGAGCTTGTATCATTGCATCTGAAACCTCTAGCAAGGCAGCCAGACTTCCATAAAATAAATACCATTGTCAGGCAAATTGTCATTAAATCAATCTCTCTCTCTCTCTCTCTCTCTCTCTCTCTCTCTC